GGCAATGGGCACAAACTGAAGCACAGGAAGTTCCGTCTGAACATGAGGAAGAACTTCTTCCCTCTGAGGGTGACGGAGCACTGGAACAGGCTGCCCAGGGAGGTTGTGGAGTCTCCTTCTGTGGAGATATTCAAGACCCGCCTGGACAAGGTCCTGTGCAGCCTGCTGTAGGTGACCCTGCTTCGGCAGGAGGGTTGGACTAGATGACCCACTGAGGTCCCTTCCAACCCCGAACATTCTGTGATTCTGTGATACCACCCAGCAACAAGCAATATTGAGTTTTGAAGATGGACAAATGCTGACACCTAGTGCACAGTATCTGGCATGCACAACCAAAAGCAATATAAAATCTTTTAAATGGCTCTAAAGCTGCTAACACATTTTGCAAAGGCGTTTAAAATGGCAAACTTCATACCAAAATAGCACTAAAGGACAGAAACAGCGTTTCTGCAACTCATTCTTCAGAACTGAAAGGATCAGTCAGTTGATTCTGCGCATTTAACTTCAGCTACTTAAAGCCTTTGGAAGTCGAAAGAAGATGCTAGCCACACTGGTTCACTTTTACAGGAATAATTAGGTCTTATAAATGAAGCTTCAAAACATTTTTTAGTCACTTAATTCCTAATATAATTCCCCCAAAAATGGTCTGTTTTCAAAAGTGACTTATTTTGGACATAGCGATACGAGAGACATCAAAGAAGCCGATAGTTTTCTGAAGGCACCGTGACCTTATCTGATAGTTCAAATTTTAGAAGTTCAAAAGATCAAAAGACACAGACAGATAGACTAGCAAATCATTTTAGAAAGTTTCAGACTATTTTTGAAGCTGATGTTGCCATTTTCCCTCAGAACTGACAGCACAAGACGATGTCGAAGGCAAAAATACCACCCATCCACATAAAAGACCAATGTCTGTGCCAAGAGTTGTAAAAAGGCGATTGCACCAAGCTGAAAACTTCCATGAATCACTGAAGCTGGGAAGAAAACAAGGCACAAGAAGAAAATACGGAACACTTTTAAACCAGTTTATTAGAATCCCCAAAAGCTATCATTCAAAAAGAATATGAGGTGTCAGATTAAGGTTACCTACTCCATCAGAAAAAAAAGCTGCTCCACCTTATTTTTTTTCTTCTCATTTTTCCATTCATGTCATTTTTGAAAAGTTAGCACAATAAAAAAATAAGGCAGCAGAGGTGAAAAGGGCATGAGTGCATGATCATGTATTTAAGTTAGAAAAGATAAAAAAAAAACCCTATCAAAAGCTATTCCTCAAATACATAATACTGTCAAAGTTCACGCACCTACGGAAACTAAATTTTTAAGATGAGAAAAGGTAGACATGAGCTCTCACTAATAATTGGAACAGCTATCAGAAAGGCAACAGATTCTCAGAAAGTTTTATATTTATCATATTTGAGTAAGTTTGCTACCTAACTTATTGCTTTAATGATTGTCCACAAAGTTACTCAAATATTTTCTGCAGTTGCAGGAAACTGTTTTTTCGTCACCACAAAGATAGCAAAATTGCATTTTCCTTCGGCACAAATAGTTATGTGTTACCACCAAGGGATGTGAAAGACAAAGAAAAAAAAAAAATCCACCACACAGACACTCCAAGAAATTCATTCTGGGAAGACTACAGCAGGCATTCTGCAGGCTGTTAATGTAGCATTCACAAACATCTTTCCTGACCTTACAAATTTATAAAATCTTAAGGCCTATAAAGCAGCTGCAAAATTGCCAACACCTGAAGCACAGCATCTTTTCCATCTAGTTAATTTTCATTTAACTGTTCTAAAAAACCAAGTTAGCAACTGTACCTGTAAAGGTTGTAGTTTACTACCCCAGCAACTGAGCCAGTTTTTTCACAGGCTTGTTTTAAGACAGGCTTTCAAGAGGGTAGCTTTTTATTTGTTTTTTAATTATCCCTTACTACATTAAAATTCTATAATCTCACTTTCTTTGTAATTAGATGTTACAATTTATTCCTCGTAACTAGATGCAAAGATAAGCCTTATTACCCTGCAGCTCTCCTATAATGAGAAAACACCAATTACACAATGTTACTAGACTGGGCAGAAGATTGAATATATTGAAAAAAACTAATTTTCCTGTTTATCAGACGCATACACTTTATCCTGTGAGGTGTTTTTTCTGCTATTGAATATTGGTAGTGCTGGTGTTCTGTCTACATGCAAGATAAAAACACAGTCTCACAGTTTGTTTCCCTAACCTATCACAGGATGATTTCTCCTTTGAGTTAGTTCAAATTATAAATATAACTATTATCTGCTTCCATACTATATACAGTAAATCTTGAAGAGTTGTACATATAATTCCCAGCCATACCTTTCTTTATGGAAAATACGTTCCCCAACACTGGAAAGATTATCTTATTCATTTTTCTCATAATAATGCTTTCTAGAAACATTTCCACCCAAGAAAATGACAAAACAGTAGACGCGCAGTTACAAGCTAGATGAATGTCATCCGTGATTGAAATCAATAAAGGTAAAGAACGGCTCACAGCTCAGCAGTGGGCCTCAATGCCCAAATAATCAACATTGTCAAGGTGTCAGTTTGTGTTTTTTTTCAAAGCAACCATATACTGAACTTCTACAGCGGCATAATGACAACAGCAGACACAGCTGACCTCAGGAAACGAGCAATTGATCATTAGGTATACAAGGTACTGAAGGAAGGGGTTAAAAGGGATTTTAGTAGAAGTAGCATTACCTAATAATTACTGTGCATTTAAAGAGAACTGATAGTGTTTATCTATTGTGTAAATTAACTGAAGCAGAGAGTCTTGCATCTCCATACGACGGGGTTAGTTCCTGATAGGGGCTGGGAGTCGCCTAGAACCGGTTAAGACCGACCCTGCTGTATGGATGGGAGCCAGAAGAGAATTGAGTTTGCGCAGAAACAAAGGTCAATCAGTGAACACCGTGATGAAGAGGATGAGCCTTCATCTTGGGACCCCCGACGACCACCACCAGGAGGCACTGCGCAAGCGCAGCTGGGAGGAGTCTATGGAAATTACTTCTTGGAGCTGATTTTAATATGGAAATTACTTCTTGGAACTAATTTTAGTATGAAGCAGAGATAGGTTATGCATAGATACAGGCATATTGGTAAATCTAATGCATTTGTAATACTTGATTGTATAAGTTGAAGAGACAAGTTGCTGCTCGGCACGCACGACTTTGGTGGGACTACCCCCCGTGCCACCCGGCGCGGAATAAGCATACCTACTTTACAATCTTACAGACTGTGGAGTCTGCTTTCCACACATCAGTACAGCAGGAAATTCAGTGGAAAAGACCCAATCCAAACTATAAATATGATTTTTAAATATTAAAAAACAGTGAATACCAATATCACTTGAGAAGAAAAAATATCATGACCCTTAGTATCCAGTTTAACATATCTTTTTTTCTAGAACACATCTACTGAGTGCCATCATCATCTAGTTTGATTTCCCATGTTGTGCAAAAGACAGAGTTACACTCAGTGATACAGAATCATCACAGAACAGCCTAGGTTGGAAGGGACCTCGAAAGATCCTCTGGTGGGAAAGGCAGCCTAGATGAGATCATCTAGCAGCCTGTCCAGCAGCATCTTGAAAACCTCCAGCAATGTGGACTCCGCCATGTGCCTGGGGAGGTTGTTCGAATCAATGATTGTTCTTACTGAATTTTTTTTTTTTCTTGTATTGCAATGAAACGTCTCCCAGTGGAACTTGTACCCATTGCCCTTTGCCTTCTTCATGCGGCTCCTTGTGAGGAAAGAGTCTCTGTCCTCTGTGTAGCAGCTCTTTAAGTACTGGAATACGGTGATGAGATCCCCTCGGTGCCCTCTCCAGGGAGAAAAAGACCTAACTCCTTCAGTCGTTCCTTCCTCATCAGGCAGGTTCTCCATCATCTTCGTGGCACTCCTTGGATCCTCTCCAGTCTGTGCACGTCCTCCGTCCAGCTCTGGAGCCCTCAGCACAGGAAAGACACGGACCTGTTGCAGTGGGGCCAGAGGAGGCCACAAAAATGATCAGAGGAATGGAGCACCTCTCCTTTGAGGAAGGGCTGAGAGAGTTGGGGTTGTTCAGCCTGGAGAAGAGAAGGCTGCAGGGAGATCTTATTGTGGCCTTTCAGTACTTGAAGGGGGCTTATAGGAGAGATGGGGAAGGTATTTTCAGTAGGGCTTGTTGTGACAGGACAAGGACTAATGGTTTTAAACTAAGGGACGGTAGATTCAGACTAGATATAAGGAAAAGTTTTTTTACCATGAGGGTGGTGAAACACTGGAACAGGTTGCCCAGAGAGGCAGCAGAGGCCCCATCCCTGGAAACATTCAAGGCCAGGCTGGACGGGGCTCCGAGCAACCTGGTCTGGTTGAAGATGTTCCCGATCGCTGCATGGGGGTTGGGCTAGATGACCTCTAAAGGTCCCTTCCATCTAAAAGCATTCTGTGATTCTTTGATCACCACACTCTGAGTGTGGCCTGTTAGCCAATTTCCTGCCCACCTTGCAGGCCACCCATCCAGTCTGTATCTTGCCAGTTTGTTCAGGCTGTGGGAAACAGTGTCAGACGCTTTGCTGATGGTTGCTAGATGATATCTGCATTAACTCCCTAAATTCTGACTGAGCTACAACAAAAATACATAGTAGACCTGATTTTCATTTCAAGGTTTTCCAGACAGTGGGAGATCTGGCATTTATAGCATATATTTTATATAGCATGACAATGCTCACTAAGGCAGTCTTTAGATGCACAAGTATTTATTTGTGGGGTCAATACCTGATGGCATGCATCCAGTTCAAAGTTACTTCATGGAAAAAATGAAGAGGAAAGAACTAGAGCAGGAAGAAAAGCAGCGGGCCTTCCAGAACACCCTTCTCTGGTTCTCTCCAACGCAGCAGGCGACAAAAATGATGATGCCTTCTCACCATGCTTTTTCACCAGATGCGTTTCATCAGGACCCACTCAAACTCTTCTTGTTTCTATCTGGGACTGAGCTGACTGGGGCAAGATTTGATCAGGGCACGTGCTGCATGCTGTGACTAGCTGCCAAGCTTTGTGCTTCTGTATTATTAGGTAACACTTATCAGCTATTTAAATGACTTCTATACTTTGCCATTCACTAAGTCTTATTTTTTTCCTCTAATATAAAGTGAAAGTCACAACATTAGTGGTGTGAGGGAGAACGGGTGATTCTTGCAATGATGGTAATTGCGTCCATAAGAAAAACAACATAACAATACTGGAGTTTGCAGGCCACAAGAATAACAGCGCAAGAACAAGGGAAAAATTACTGCCACAGCAGTTTATACGAAAGGCTACAGAGCTGCCAGCAAAAGACAGACTACAGAATTAAAGAGAAGGCGCTTAGCACTGCAAGGATGAAAGCAGTTAAGGGACTCTGCAACAAAATTGATGATTTTTATGACAGCTTGTCAATTAACTTACTTCTCATTTATATTGGGTTAGAAAATTGACTCCACAAAAACAATTCTCCGCTAATGAAAGAAAGTATTCTGCCTACCTCATAAATCTGCTCTCCCAATCCAGACTTAAGAAGCTCAATGGTGTGAACTTAAACTGCTAGTCTTACTAAGATGTAATGAGCAAAAAAGGAAAACCAATAAGAAACCTAACAGCTTTCTATGAATTCTTTCAAACACAGCAGTCTCTCTGTAACCGATGACACCAAGATTGAGACACTGATAAAGTGTTAACCTTGTTCTGCGGTGGTACTGAGTGTTTTTCTCATAGTTCCAAATACTGATTTTCTCCTCTGAATTCCTTTCTGATTTGGCCTAACCAAGACTTTGCACTACACAACATAAATTCAATTGATTACCAACACTAGTCAGACTCAATCTCACTTTGCAACAGGCCATTCCTGATTTGCTCTTAGTTTTATTGAACAAGATACAACCAAGGAAAAAACAAAAGTCCATTTCAGATCTGTCCCAAGCAACTGTTCTTCCCTAGTACAACATCACAATAGAACAACAAAGGGATTTTTTTCTTCACAAGGGAGAATAACCAATAGAGTCTTCAATCTCAAAGTAAATTCTCATGTTTTTAGATGAGCTCTGAATACCTTTTAAACCAGACTCATAGATGTGAAAATCCTCAGAAGTCAAGTCCTAGTGAGAAAGAAGGCAGTGACACAGAAAATAAACTGGAGTCTCCCAAATCTAGGTAACTTTCACACTTCAGCATAATCTCTCAAACAAGAAGAGACAAATAACTGGACTTTCCGCACTGACCTGACGAAGGTTGATATACACTGCATTCTGAAGAAACTCCGAGGCTTCCATGCTCCTTTTCTGTATTGCAAGGACTCTCACTGCCTTCACGCAGGCTTCCAGTTCAATCACACCAGCATTCTTGTACTTGAAGAGGGAGAAAATTAAAATAATATTTAAGTATTGCACCTGTTACGTTTGATAAGTATTTCTGCTCAACACATAAGTCAGTTGTCACATCTTCCAAACCCAGCAATTCCTTTAAGCTAGTGACTACACTGTTAAATTCTCAACATATGCCCAAGTGAAAATTAAGGTGTCATCTAAAATGTGATTATGCAAAACAATGGTTTTCAGCCTCTTCACTCACTTTTCTTATTTTGACACATAAGACAGCTTCAGTCTGAGAGTTCAGATGAGGAGAAAAGTTGGAAATATTAGTATCATTTTTGATAACTTCACATATATGGTGAATGTGGGTGGTGTGTCTGCAACAAAGATATTAATTCTACCTTCACAGTGTAATAGGTATGTAAGCAAAAAGGTCAGTTTTACAGTAATTCATCACGGCCTAAAACTTCTATCACGATAAACAAGGAATTAATTTTGCCTTTTCTACTTGTTACAAAATAACGCTATATAGCATAGGAAGCTGTGACAGCACTTTGACTGCACCCATTTTCTCTTTAGTTAAAACAGTATCACTGATGATAAGTGAATTACAAACCATTCCGAATTTTCTAGTATCTATTTACAAAACATTTTCTGTAGATGACTGTGTCCGTTACTTGGCTTGCTTAAGAAAGGCAGGAGACAACGTAGATGTGCATTGATCTGTTTGAGCGTGGGCCACAAACAAAGGCAATTTTCTAGGCAAACAATCTGATCTAGTTATTTCTTCAAACAATACTGATATTTAATATTTGAGTCAGCCCACCTCCTGCTGAAGTTAAACTCTGTTCAGGTATTTATCATGTTTGATATCTAATGGGGTAAATCAAGCTCAGCATGAAATGCAAGAGTTACTCCACCAAAGCAGTTACATACAAAGCAGTTACATACTCCTTTCTTGTGCATTTATATCAGCAAAACCGAATCATTGGAGATTGAATCCGTTTTCAAAGATGCTACAGAAGTTTCTTAAGCTCAGTGATAACATAAAAAAGTATGTAGAAAGTGCTGCTTCCTCAGCATTAGAGCTAGGAGTTACTCTGTCTGTAGGTCTTAAATAGACAAAAGCTAACTATGCTTGTCTTGAACAGTTATAGATCACTGCCGAGACAAAGCTCTTCGTTATTTGCAAGTGAAGCAGCAGTGAAGCATAGTAGTTACTTGCCGAGAGCATAATGTATATTACTATAATCAAAATATATATACCTTGCCCTAAGTCCGAAGTCCAATAATTTTATACTTCTAAAGACACCATACTCTTTCCAGATGAGCAACTTACCCTTACGGTAACATAAAAAGCTGAATGCGTACTTGAGAATTACTGTTATATTGATGGATTCAAATTTCTCTGAAACTGTCCCCAAAACTATCACCTTTCATTGCTCCTGATCATAAATCAACTCATGCACACAATTTATCTTGTTTCATTCAGAGAGTCTCCCTTCAACACAGCCATGGAAAAGCCACGTCATATTTACACAGCTTACTCTAAGAATACTTTTAATAGCAAAGAAGAGAAAAATCTGAAATTAAAAAGTGATTAAAGCATAAATAACTACATTGCAATACAATTAAACTTACCTTTAATGCTGATGTGGACACTGAGACACTATTGTCACAGTATTAAATATTTTTTTTCTCTTCCTATTATGAATGCAAACTTGAAGCTGCCTTACTATCTTATACTCTGAGTACTTTGCTCTAAAAAAATGCTCCAGCAGAGCTGAGAACTGTTTCATTTTTCTAAATCCTCTTTTAAGAATGTTTGTCCTTCACTTTTCCTCCATGACCCCCTACCTCTCCACATGCTCTGCAAGCCTCCCTGAACGATCCTGGAAAATCACATCCATCATCAGCAACCTGTTCAGAAACTCCTGAATTCCCCAGAGATCATTCCAGCCGGCACAATAAATAACCATTCAGCTTACACAATGCATAAAAGCATCACTGGAGTTGATGATGTATGTATTAAGGACCATGAACATACGTAGCAGTTGACAAACCTTCCAACTGCTAATATTTCTGCTTAGAGCACTTTAAAAACGTAAGACAATTAATCCAAAACCTCCAGGTACTAGCAGGCACAGTAAACAGTTTAGTCGGCACACTGCTGTTTCAGATGTTGTTTTTGATCAAACTTCTAAGATTCCCAAACTCTAAACCCAGCCCTTAGTTCAGCAGTATAAATTATTCCTATTTCTTCCATTATCATATGTTTTACAACCATTATTGCTGTAGATGATCGTCTGAAACCAAAACCACAGCAGTTCATCATTCACAAGAATTTCAGAGAAGTTTCTTAAAAATAAGCAGGATTACCTTGCCATAGTAAGAAATGGCTTCTTTATATTTATCTATGATGTCTTCAGGACTAAGACAATTCTTGGCACGTCCTATCTCAGCACTGGTATCTGCATTTATACCATTTGAAGTTAGCGCACCTAGAACAGAACAGGGTAAGAAATGAGCAGAAAGTCTTTTAGCAAATACTAAGTATGTAAGAAGAAAACTAGGATGTGCTGTGGGTCTGACCAAAGCATACACAAAGAATACTTGCCCTACCTAGAAATAAGTCGTGCCCTACCTAGAAAACACTAGTTCTGTTTTACTGTCCTATTTTAAAGAGTACAAATGAAAAACTGATCCAATCATAAGCCAGTAAACAGAAAATAATCTTTCACTTAGTAAAAAACAAATGTATTCATAATCTTTTACACTTATCTGAATATTTAACTATGAATAAAATATTAGATTGCTAAAATTAGATTAAGGCCACATCTAAATATTTAATTTTAATCTTTGTATTTTCCCTTGTTCTACTTAAAAATTGTATTTCTAAAGCACACCTAAGAAAAAAAAAGTGCAATTTTTTTTATAAATTATTAGAACAGTGACCTGCTCCTCCAATTATTTAAAACAAATACTTCTATTTCCTATGTTTAAGCACAACCAAGTGTTACACTGTAACAAAGGCCACCAAATCTGAGCCTTCCATATTAAAGAAAAATTACCTGAGGCTCAGACAAAACACTAAATAAGTGCTTTTCTTATATAAGAAAGAAGGCAAGAGACAGATAGAGTCTTTACATACATAAGGGATAAGATTTTGAAACAGAAGCCAAGGAAATCTGGGGTATTACAACGAACACGAAAAATTTATTTCTAGAATTTAATTTTATTGCAGAGTCTACATAATAAAATTTAAAACATACATCAAAGGTTTGGCAAGCCCCTATACCTTTTTACGTGTTACTTAATCTCTAGGATTATACGGTAATTTCTTTCTTCAAGAGGTTTCTCTACTGAGATAGCAAAGAAATTTTTGTGTTTCAGAGCTGGACATAACTCTCGATAGACAGTTAAAAACTACGGTGAAACATACTTTCTACTCCCTCTATTTATTTAGAAATATGTTGGTTTACATGCTCAAATGCTAAAGTAACTTTTTTATATGTTTATATGTTTATCAACCTTAAAGAATCATACCAAGCACATCTGTAGATAAACACATCAGGCTTTTTATGGAAGTTTAAGTGTAAAATCTTTGTTAGTGCTGACTGAGAGAGTACCATGACACTACAAGACTACATGTGACCATTCAGGTTTGTCAGTTAAAAAAAAAAAAAAAAAAAATCCTCACTACTCATGCAAAGAAACAATCTTAAACAATCTTGATTAGAATTTACAGGGACACAACTGTGGAACTACATCATTTCTTTTGTGCCAGTTACCCTTTGGTCTCTTTGCTTCCTCAAGATTTATAGCCAAAAACTGAAGAATCATGAATCAGTACTAGTTTTGGCAAGTGGTAGCAACTATCTATACAAATGCAAAACATATGCAAGTAAAAAAGAAAAGACTTTGGAAACATGCACAAAAATAATGTACCTGGATCAATGAGAACTTCTTGTGCCCCTAAAAGGAGGAACAAAAATGATTTTTTTTTCAGCCTTAGATATAGCCAACAAAATAAGCTTTTATAATGTTTTATAACTAACATCAGGCTTGAACAAAATTGTAAGATTTATTACGATCACCAAAGGACTACCAATTATAATTCAAGTAGTCACCGTATGTTAAATCTCATTTTGTTAAAAAATAAATGTAAAAATTCCATAAACTTGCAATGAATTCTATGACACATCAAGAAGAATTGAACAGATTTCAGTTTATAATTTAAATCCATATCCTTTTTCTCTTTTTTCTTTATTCTTGTTTTAGTTGACAAGTTTCCATCACAAGTCACTTGTTATATTTTCATATCAGGTTCCACAGTACTTAAATCTCCTTGTGGGAGCTCGTTTAATCTACACAATACTCTAGAATAACATTTTCAAGTAATTGCATCCCTTATCAATTGTCATTAATTTCACCCCATCAAATTTTCTGAATAATTGAGTCATGCCAACCCAACAAGCCAGACTACTCACATAAAATATTTGCCAAGAGCATTGCAAACTTGGATTATCACATATCTATCACCTTGTTGCACTAAACTTTGATTAAACATGGCAATAAAATTCTTAAGATCAAGGGTTAGGCAGTCAAAAACAATTGCTTTATGAGGGAGACAGGACCTCCCTTCAGTTGATTCATTCAGACTCCAGAGTAGTAGAGATTTAGAGCCTAGATCAAAAGCGTACTTCAGCACTTCACTCACGCGTCCTAATTCAGCTTGGGAAAAGAGGAAGGTCAGGTGACAAAATTAAGAGTTTGGCATTTCAAACAAATAAAACACAAGAGAGAAACCCCAAACAGCTAGTAAGCTAAACATAAAGCAATCTAAACTCAGCTTATTGAAATAGCACAGAAATCACGCAGCCAACAGACCACGGCCAGGTCCCTGGCCAACACGAACTAAGCAACTCCAAATCTTCTTTTACACGGAAGGCTGCAGAGACGGATCCAGCCGTTCAGGGAGACACAGCCTAAAGTTCTCCCCCTACAAACAAAAGGGTTTAGGAATGCAAGAAGTCACACTGCTTTAAAAAGTCAAAGTTCCCTTTTCACAATCAGCAAGCCACTGCAGTCCAAGGACTCATGGCTACGACCAAGGACGAAATCTGTCTTTGGAGCAGGCAAGATTCCATGTCTCCTTCCATCAGACAAGTACTTTAAACACTATGTTATCGATAGTTCTCTTCTGAACTAACTGTTTCCTCCAAAAGAAGCTGAAGAGTACACCAACAAAAAAAGACAATATTCTGATGGTTACAGATGAATATGAAATATCTTGAAATTCTGCTCAGTAGGAGACAAAAAAAACACCCACCAAAAAACCCATTTAACACTGCCCTCTTAAGCTTGTGCTCTGTATTATGCAAAGAAAGATGGTATTTATGCTTCTCTTTCTGGAGATGTTTCTATATAAAGCAGACACCACAACATTTTCTGAGCAGCCAGGTCCTCTGCTGTAGCCTAAATATGTCAAACAGTGGAAATCACAGCAAATTTAAGAGAAGGATGTTTCTCTTGATCAGATATGGGCATAAAGGCAGTACCAAAAAAACCCCGTCCTGTCAAGGCTGAAGTAGAGGCACAAGAAGAGGTGCAATTCCAGGCACCATATTCAGGAAGCAACAAAGGGAACTCTCACATCTGTTTGCCTCCAAAGTAAGCATAAACTCAGTGTCAGCTCCAAGTATGGCATTTCTTGATTTGTGCAGGATTTGGAAACTCATTTGGTTTCTGACCTTATCCTATAGAAAGATACACTGAAATTTTTTGCACAAGATTAAATACTGTCCTCACAAAATTAATTATAACAAAGTAGATTATCAACAAAAGCGCAGTTTGAAAATACTTTAATTTAAAGGCATCGCGGAGTCAGAAAAAGGTATTGAAAAGAAACTTCCAGAAAAGCTTGCAGGAAAAAGACATCACAACAATACGTGTTTGGCTAGACAGACTTCAGCAGGTCGGATCTCAAAACAGTTAAGAGATCATAACTAGAGTGAGGGAACAATATCGAACAGACCGTGACATAACACTTCCATCTGGAAGGGATGACAAAAAACCTGTCTCAGTTTCTCTTCTCACAAAAGGCCTTTGAAAAATCTTGTCATACGAAACAAAAACATTTTTAAAATACGACTGCACTAACAAGTTTGCAAACAGGACTTTGAATTACAAAACAACTTATATAGAGAAGCAGCAATCATATACGCAAAATATATTTTATTCAATTATCCTGACACCTGTGACTTATTTGTTACCTTCTTTAGTAACCAGGAATACCCATCACAAACAGATTGAAACATCTACTGTTAAATATTCGTCGATAAGTGGACAAAGGTCAATAACTGTGTGAAAGTACATTATAACATCAAATATAAAGTCACTTATAGGTCATGGGACCAAATGAACAGATTTTGATGACTAGACAGTATACGAAAAATTAGTATTCTCTCCTGAAATCAGGTGATTTTACTATCACAATTATCTGGTGTCAACATACACAGTTTGTCATGAAGAAAATACAAAGCAAGTGTTTACCAGATTGCAACTTACAGATGAATAACACGGGTGTTGGGGTTTTTTAGATGAAGGAATTCATTTTGATCACATTGCACACAAGGGTACTTAACGCTAGCACTTAAACCCAGCTTTTGTTTGTCTCAGAACTGCATAAGAACCTGAGTATTTACATAGAAACAGCTGTACTCAGCCCAGTCTTGTTCAACTTCTTCGTCAATGACCTGGATGAAGAGGTAGAGTGTACCCTCAGCAAGTTTGCTGATGACACCAAACTGGGAGGACTGGTGGATACACCAGCAGGCTGTGCTGCCATTCAGCGAGACCTGGGCAGGCTGAAGGGTTGGGCAGAGAGGAACCTGATGAGGTTCAACAAGGGCAAGTGCAGGGTCCTGCACCTGGGGAGGAATAAACCCATGCACCAGTACAGGCTCGGGGCTGACCTGCTGGAGAGCAGCTCTGTGGAGAGGGACCTGGGAAATACTTTAATTTAAAGGCATCGCGGAGTCAGAAAAAGGTATTGAAAAGAAACTTCCAGAAAAGCTTGTAGGAAAAAGACATCACAACAATACGTGTTTGGCTAGACAGACTTCAGCAGGTCGGATCTCAAAACAGTTAAGAGATCATAACTAGAGTGAGGGAACAATATCGAACAGACCATGACGTAACACTTCCATCTGGAAGGGATGACAAAAAACCTGTCTCAGTTTCTCTTCTCACAAAAGGCCTTTGAAAAATCTTGTCAAACGAAACAAAAACATTTTTAAAATACGACTGCACTAACAAGTTTGCAAACAGGACTTTGAATTACAAAACAACTTATATAGAGAAGCAGCAATCATATACGCAAAATATATTTTATTCAATTATCCTGACACCTGTGACTTGTTTGTTACCTTCTTTAGTAACCAGGAATACCCATTACAAACAGATTGAAACATCTACTGTTAAATATTCGTCGATAAGTGGACAAAGGTCAATAACTGTGTGAAAGTACATTATAACATCAAATATAAAGTCACTTATAGGTCATGGGACCAAATGAACAGATTTTGATGACTAGACAGTATACGAAAAATTAGTATTCTCTCCTGAAATCAGGTAATTTTACTATCACAATTATCTGGTGTCAACATACACAGTTTGTCATGAAGAAAATACAAAGCAAGTGTTTACCAGATTGCAACTTACAGATGAATAACACGGGTGTTGGGGTTTTTTAGATGAAGGAATTCATTTTGATCACATTGCACACAAGGGTACTTAACGCTAGCACTTAAACCCAGCTTTTGTTTGTCTCAGAACTGCATAAGAACCTGAGTATTTACGTAGAAACTGCTGTACTCAGCCCAGTCTTGTTCAACTTCTTCATCAATGACCTGGATGAAGAGGTAGAGTGTACCCTCAGCAAGTTTGCTGATGACACCAAACTGGGAGGAGTGGTGGATACACCAGAAGGCTGTGCTGCCATTCAGCGAGACCTGGGCAGGCTGAAGGGTTGGGCAGAGAGGAACCTGATGAGGTTCAACAAGGGCAAGTGCAGGGTCCTGCACCTGGGGAGGAATAAACCCATGCATCAGTACAGGCTTGGGGCGGACCAGCTGGAGAGCAGCTCTGCAGAGAGGGACCTGGGTGTCCTGGTGGGTGACAAATTGACCATGAGCCAGCAGTGTGCCCTGGCTGCCAAGAAGGCCAATGGCATCCTGGGACGTATTAAAAGGAGTGTGGCCAGTAGGTCAAGGGAGGTTCTCCTCCCCTGCTACTCTGCCCTAGTGAGGCCCCATTTGGAGTACTGTGTCCAGTTCTGGGATCCCCAGTTCAAGAAAGACGAGGAACCACTGCAGAGAGTCCAGCAGAGGGCTACGAGGATGATGAGGGGACTGGAGCATCTCTCCTATGAGGAAAGGCTGAGGGAGCTGGGCTTGTTCAGCCTGAAGAAGAGAAGGCTGAGAGGGGATCTTAGAAATGCCTATAAATATCTTAAGGGTGGGTGTCAGGAAGATTGGGCCAGACTCTTTTCAGTGGTGCCCAGCAACAGGACAAGGGGCAATGGGCACAAACTGAAGCATAGGAAGTTCCATCTGAACCTGAGGAAGAACTTCTTTACGTTTCAACTCCTACCATTCTGTGATCCCGATCTGCTGGAGCAGGGAGCAGGATCAGGCTGTTAGTGCTGTCTGCATTTATATGAGTGCTGTGCTTTCTGTCTGTGCTGGTCTGCGTGGCTGTGTGCATATACGTTGTGTGTGTGTGTGCCTGTACACCTATTGGGAATGCATGCTCAGCCTCATTCCTGGCTGGACCTGGGGACACGGAGTTCCAGCAGCCTTGCCTCTATCATGCTACCAGATCTGGTAACTCCTAATGAGAAGGCGTGACACGTTCTACCTGTATGCTCAATAAAGAATAATTTCTTTCATTTGGTTTTCCGTCTGCTAGCTCTATTTGATGTCCTCCAGTTCTTTTATCAGAAGAAACACTGAACCTCTGATCCCTATCTATCCTCTTCCACAATGTTCACCATACTACAGAGCTCTCACATATTTTTCGTCAGCCATCTCTTTTGCAAAACCACCAAGTCCTAGGCTGTTATTCTTTGTCCAGAGCCCATACCAAGATCACCTTTGTTGCCAATCTGCAACCTTCATCCAGTAGAAAAAAGGGAGAAAGGGAACACGAACATGCTTTTGAGATGGAAAACTGAAATGGCATACAATATTCCAGATGCAGGTGAACGGCAGACTTCATGATATTTCCTATTTTTTCTCTGTTACTCTCCTAGTAATTTCTAAAATATTTTAAGCAGACCATTTCTCAAAGAATGTCTACTATAAACAGTGTTAATACAATCATCGTATTAGTTACGCAATCCGAGAGTTGAGAAAAAGTATACCAAATCTTAAAAATGATGTTGGCTTATTGGTATTTAGTTAACCAAATCTATTTATTCAATGTTGACTTTAAAATAGCAAAACACCTCTGAAAAAATGTACCTAACTTATTCTTCTTAATATGTGCAGCTCTGCCACATTGTATGTACTTTATGAAAACTGTCTGCATCCCCTCCTGCAAAATGCAAACTAATGCAGGCACTATTAACAATCAGATGCAGAGATCAAAAGCTTTGCAACTCTATCCAAAGCACACATGTTGCCATTAACACCAAAACAGTATAAAGTCATTAATGTAAAAATCTCAAAAAGAAATACAGTTCTTCCCTCCCTGCCCCCCTCCAGTTCATCCTGTCACCAGTATCATTTCACAGAGTTGGGAAGCACGGAGGAAATTTTCAGATGTTAAGTGACAAACAGAGTAACAATGAAATCGCATCCTTACCTGGTCTGTGCCTGTTGCCTGCCTCAGCAGAAAGAGAACCTCCTTGTGCCCTGCGAGATCCAACTTTGCCTCCAGTACCACCCGGATAATGATAGATGACTGATGCTGAGCATAACCCCTCAAGAGCAGCTGTAAAGAAAAAAGCCAACAGATTAGTAGAGATACTTACAAAACACGAAGGATCGTGTAGTAAAGCCTATCACACAAACATCAGGTCTGCAATTTGAGGCATACTTTGTGACAAAGGTCATGGAAAAGCCTGAGATACTCAATGTCCTTTTCATCTCTATTTTCAATGGTAAAGTTTACTCTCAGCCCTCCCAGGTCCTCAAGCCTACTAGCAGAATCTGTAGGAGTACCCACCATCCACAGCAGAGGAAGACAGACATACAAAGCACTTAATCCAATTGGACTCAAATCCACAAAACCAGGAAAGATGCATCCATGCATGCCAAAAGCTGGTCACTGTGAGACCACTCTCTTATTACCTCCAACAGGTCGTGCCAACTGGGGGAGGTTTCTAATGACTGGACAAAGGGAAACACCACACCCTTATTCAAGAAGGAAGCACCAGAGGTCTGCAGGCAGATCAACGACAGCTCCCTGAACATGCTATAAAGAAATCCTTCTAGAAGCCATTTCCAAGCACAGGAAGGACAAGAAGGTGACTGGGAACAGCACACATTGATTTACCGCGGATAAATCAGTCCTTGGCAACCTCTTTGCCTTCTACGATGAGATGATTAGCTCAGTGGACAAAGAACAGCAGTGGATGTTGTATATTGTGACTTTCACAAGACCTCTGGACATGGTCTCTCATAGCATGCTTATAGCCAAACTGATGAGAGAAGATTTGGATAGTTGGCCTACAAAGTAGGTGGAAAATAGTCTGGACAGCCAGGCTCAAAGGATTGTGATCAGCAGTACAGAGTCCAAATGGTTGCCTATTACCAGTGGTGTCCTTCAGGGATGAATCCTCAGGAAAACACTCTAATGTCTTCATTAACGGCCTGGATGATCGCATAAAGCACTCCCAGAAAATTCCTGGGTGATATCAAATTGAGGGGAACAGAAGGGCAGGCCTTCAATGCTGAAAGAAGTTGATGGGCTAGAGATACAGGCTGACAGGAGCCCCACACAGTTCAAGATCACACAGCTCAGATTGGATAAACCTATGCAGCAACGAAGCCTGGGAGCTGACTGGCTGGAAAGAAGCTCTGCAGAAAAGGACCTGGGGGTCCTGGTGGACAGGTTAACAGCAGTTTGTAACAGGCCCTTGCAACAAAGGTGGCCAACTGCATACTGGGCTGTAACAGCCAGAGCGTAGCCAGCAAGTGAAGGGAAGTGATTATTCCCTTCTGTTCTACACCTGAGAAGCCACATTTGGAGCAATATGTCCAGCTTTGGGCTCCCCGGTACCAGAAAGACATTAACATCCCAAAGCAGGTCCAACAAAATGAGGAAGGCCATCAAAATGATCAGGGGGGTGGAGCCCATGACATAAGAGAAGCAGAGAGAACTGAGTTTGTTCAGTCTTAAAGAACAAGAGGCTAAGGGGAGATCTTCAGGGTAGGAAGGCTCTGTAGAGGGATCTGGACAGGCTGGATTGATGGTCCAAAGCCAACTGTATGAGGTTCAACAAGGCCAAGTGCCAGGCCCTGCACCTGGGTCACAACAACCCCATGCAACGCTACAGGCTTTGGGGGGGGTGGCTGGGGGGGGGGCCGGCGGAGAAGGACGTGC